TTGTTGTACAGCGCAGTGCTTAGGAGTGACTAGGTGAGGAGCTGAGAGAGATGTTGCTGGTCCAGTAGCTGAGTGTAGAATGCTCTCCATGGACAGGCATGGCCGTATTTATACAATTTACGAGGATCAGGATTTGGGATGCGTGTAGAGCGAGAGCCAATCACAGAGGAGAATGCCAGAAGTACCCGGCACCCTGATCCTGGCGTTGCTACGTGTGCGTCCGCACTGTGGAGTAGGTCTACCAGCGTCGCTGGCTGTACGCTGATTGGCTGGTAGGCGTGCGGGAGCTCAGTCATCAGTTGGAAGTTGTAGGAGAGAGGAGCCACAACAATACCATTAGAAAAATACTATAAAACCAGCTCTACATAGGCCCAAACATAGGCTAGGCTAGAACTGAAATGTGAATATAGCCTATGGCGAAAGTTTTTTTTTTTTTTTTTTACGGGGATTAGCCCACCTGGGCACAGGTCACTGATCCACATCAGGGCCTGGGGGGCGAAAATGTAATAATAATAATGATAATGAGAATAATAATAATACAGTGACCCCTCCGTTAATCTAACTCAACTGCTCCAGAAGGTCGCTCGTTAACCGAAAAGTTCGTTAACTAAACCATTGTTTCAATGGGTTTTGCATGGTTCCAGCTCACCGAAAATTTCCTAAATTCAACAAAAATGGTAGAAAAGTTCACTTACTTTGAGGTGTGTATGTAGAAGGCTCCTGGATGATGATGATGATGATGATGATGGGATTTAGAATGGGGGTGGAGGAGAAGGAAGAAGAGAAGGCATTGGGGTGGAAGAGAAGTCACCCCATAGCACCATTTCACCCATAAAATTTTAGCTCTCTTTGGTGTAATTCAAGATTATTTTCTTTAAATCAACACTGCACTGCATTATATATTGTCAACATGTAAAATATATTTCAAAATGACCAATAATTTGCTTGGAAACACAGAAAAAAAGCATTTAGTTGAAGAGAGTCTCAAGCAAGATGTTACCTCCAGTGAAAACAGAGAGAGACTAACTTCTGTTTACTGTGTTAAGAGGCTGGATGCCGCGCATTAAACTAGTCACTTTACCTTCAATTATGTTCAATAATTGTTAAAATGACTAAAAAATTGAATATTAAACTTTTAAAATTATTTAATAGTATAAACTTCTTGATATTTACTAAAATAGTAAGGAATTTAAGCCCTAGAACCGATTAATGTGTTGGCGGACTGATACTAAAGCTGGTTGCCCGGTCAGTGCAAGCGAAAACATGTTGAGGTCGGTTCGTAAGAACTTCGTTAACCGAATTTTTTTTCGTTAACCGAATTGAAGATCCTTATGGAAGGCAGTTCGTTAATCGAAATTACGTTAACCGAGGTGTTCGTTAAACGAGGGGTCACTGTAATAATAATAATGATAATAATAATAATAAAGAACCATAAAGAAATGCAAAAATGAAAAAAAAAATCAAAAGTGAGAAACAATTTGTGTTGTGTTGTCAATAGTAAGATAAATAATTGAGACCCTGCAATTGTGTTTAAATGAGGCAGAAGTCAAATGAGCAACCTGGGACTTGGTCACAATTTTCGTGATGCCATATAGCAGCAGGATCTACCATTAGACAACACATTATGCTTCCAATATCTTCCTAGGCGGTAGTACCTCCCTGTTTGGTAGCTGCTTACTACCTGTCAATAAGGCCACGCCACTTTCATTAAGACACTTAACGTAATACCTTTCAAATTTACAATCCGGCATTTGCATCAGCTGGTGTAAACAAACTGCCAGTGGCGCCACCAACACCACGCAGCCAGCGGCAAAACTATGGGTCCATTACACCGTTGGCACACAGCTTAGACTGTAAACAGCTTATTGACCCCCCCCATACACTGATCAAGCCTACGTGGCAATTTACTAAACCATTGTGACTTTATGCTCTTGCTGGCATCCACTCATTACCCACACACCAACCTGACAACACTGTAGATGTCTTCTTGTCCAGTAGTAGCTGTTTAACACTCAGAGTATCCAGTTTTTAAACAGCTGAAAATATCTTATCCCCACGGCTCCCACAGCAAAAGATGAAATATGACTCAAGTTTGAAGCTGTACCTATAACGCAATCATAATATTGTGCAGATTGCACACATATAGTACCGGGTAATTGTCTGGCTGGCTGCCTGGGTTTAGTGGTATGCGGCCAGCCATTCTGATCGATTGTTTACTGTGCATCAGCTGTTGGAAATGGCATGTGGTGTTGTGATAGTTTAATTATACTGGAATTTACATTTTATTATAATATCTAATGTTAAATAAGTTTACCAAACATGAATGTCAGAAGGGAATATTAGCGGCAGGCCACGGGAGTTACGCTAAGTGATGCACAGCGAGTGTTAAGAAGGCTGTTCCACTTGTTTACCACTGTGGTAAAGCTTCACATTTTATACTCGGCATATACGTTGACCTCTGGTTTGGAAGAGATTTTCTCAAGCTTAAAATGTCGACTCAATGCCACAACTTACGGTAATTTGTGTGCTGTCTAAGTGTCTTGGCACGTTACCTAACCACCTGACTCCATCACCTCACCATCTGACTCCATCACCTCACCCTTTGCTTTGTTAGCTCAGCTCGGAATTACACCGATTTATTACTGTATTATTTTACTTTTTTAGTATTTAACATACACTGTAAAAAAAAAACTACCGTTACAATTCCTGCGCGAAACAGACACTACAAAGGAAGAGTTTCAAAAAGGGTCCCCCTCCCCCCCAGGCATTCCTCGCATTGGTAGCGCTGCGCGTGTATGGGTTCGGCCACACGTGCTCAAAACAAGTGATCGGCACTTTGAAACGAAACCCAGTACAGCTCCTCCCGGACATACGACCGCCTCAGTCATACCAAAATGTTGTCAAATTACGTATTTTCGAGTCCCAACGTCAGTGATTGCGCTGTGTACTGACAAAATTTTCGTTTGTAATTCGCTTTAAAATGGCTGGCAAGCTTAAAAGTGAGAGTTTTGTGGTGCGGAGAAGAAAGAGAGACACCCATTTTAGATTTTCTATGTATTATTTAAGCATTTTCAACTTACGACCTGGATTTGGGTCCCTAACCCCGTCGTAAGTCGGGGAGGAGCTGTACTAGACTTTCCGGAATTATCGACCGTATAGTAAAACGTCGTTGGGCTGGGTTCCATTATGACGGAACAGCATAGTATATTTTCCAATATGAATAAAGAATGACATGGCATTAGCCCAAAGTGAATTAGCAATGCAAATACAGATTCAAAATAATCTTGTACCTTTACTACATCCACTTATTCTGCCAAACATATAATGCATTCCTATATGGCAACTCATCCACTTCCAAGGCTACTGTAGTCCATGGTGTGTGGAACATGTAATATAACATAGTTTAACTTATCTAGATATACTGACATTCTCCAGTCATATTGTAACAAAGTAATTCAATATTGTCAATGAAACGGCTAATTTCAGCCTTCCAAATTAAGTATGAAATGTCTCACATTCAGGCCTATACTAACCCTCGCGAGACAACGGAAATGTTCAGTTGGAAAATCATCAGACCCCCACCTGTATGGTAGTTTTTTTTACGGAGTGTACATTTAAAGAAATGTTTATATACGCATAGTAATTATAAATAGACAAAGGGCAGAAAAATCCAGCATTACCCAAGTGATTGGTTTACCCACCAACGCACCAACCATGTGAGGATGCGGCTAAACAAGATGCACTCTCTCAACGCCCAGAAAATTTGTTCCCAGGCCTTGAGGAGAAAGGTTTGAAGTGATTTTCTCGTAATTTTCTAAGATTTTCTGGGAATTGCGCATTATTTCATAATCGACATTTGCTCCCAGACCCAGAAATAAAAATTGGGACATATTTCCCAGAATTTGTATTTTTTCCCAGAAAATTTTACCGATTTTCAATATCAGAATTTGTACCTGAACCTGGAATTTAGGTAATTTTCCGGAAAAATTCTGAGCAAATTTCGATTCTGGCTATTGGAGAATTCCGGCTAACCGAGATATTACTGTACAGTATTACCCCGCTTTACACGGTTTCACTTTCCGCGATTTCTCATTTACGTGGTACCTTGCCAGAACCAGACTTTCACTTTCCGCGGTGCATCTACTCATATACACGGTGAAGTATATTTTTTTCTTTTTATTTAGCTCATAAAATTCATACAAATTACCCGGCCAGAATATAATTTACATTGCTGGAATTCTTACAATATGATGATCATTTTGAATATAAACATCATAGATTTTGCATTAGACATACAAATTTTAGATCTAATGTTTACTCTGAGTAAATATGTTATCTTTTGTGCAAAATATATGACATTTAAATTCAAAATATTCCTGGTTTTACAAGGAATCCAGCAGTGTCAATTATATTATCCTAACTTTAGTTTGAGGTATTATTTATTACTATACCTTAAAATCCAGTGGTTTTCCCCCCAAAATTTCTCAGAGGGGGAAGAGCCAGCGAGTGTAGTGTGAGAAGAGGGGGAAGGAGTTGTCCATTATTTGAATGGACATTAACTTGGCGACTGTACTTCTCTATTTCTCTTAAGTATTAATTGTGTGCATGTACCATCATAAAATTAAGATGTTATTTTTACTAGAACATAGTTATTGTGTCGGAAAAAGTAGAGTTTGAGGGGTCGGGCCAGTCTCTATTGGAATTAATCCCAGATGTTCTGTTGTTCACTTTATGCGGTTTTCACTTTCCGCGGTACCCTGTGGGTTCAATTGTAAATCGGGGTACTACTGTATTTGCTTTCATCGGATTGGGGTCTGCCTCAGTTAGTCCGGTTTAGTGAGGTTCTACTCTAAACATATATTCACACCATACAACAAACACAACAATAACACGGTGAACATGCGATAAAACAATCACTCGCATACAAATAATATCAACTAACATTATTACTAGTTTCAATCACAATCTGAAATTACACGAGGTATAAACAAATACGTACATAGCAAATGACCCTCATTTAATTTATTATATTCATCATTTTACAAAAATATGTAACAAGAATACAAACAACACACCTCTCCAGTAGACTTCTGGATTCATAAAATATATTCAGGATTGCATTTACAGAGCCATTAACTTTTCTGAGACAACCAAAAATACTTAACTGTATAGAAATGGCACAACTTTAACAGGATACTTTATACACAGTGAAAGTTCTTGTACTGTATAACAACTGTTCAACGTCAAAATTTCTTGGCACTGTTTTACATTCACATTTATCAGCAGTAAGTTAACCACCCATACAAGTACAGTACTGTATATCAACAAAGGAATATCAACAATTGTTTACCCTATGATGACCAGCAGATGGTAAGTTATACAAACCTACTTACCTACCACTGGCCTGTGTTTCTATTATTGAGCACATAGACTATTAATTGTAGAACATTACAGTGTTTAGAAAAGCCCCTGAACTTCCTCTTTTTCCAAGTCAAGGTCAATGTCATATATGCAGGGTCTTGTAGGTAACCCTGGCATCGTACTCATCTGAGGAATGTAAATAATATTAGTTAGCTAGCAATGGGTTTACAGCAATTTTCCATTTGGTAAAAAAAAAAAAATTTTTACACAAATGGGGGAAGGAGAAGAGAAAAGAAATGAAATTAGAGGAAAGGATAGATAAAGAGATGGGAAAGATTGGGCGAATGAGGTGCTTAAAAGGGAAAAGAAGGAGATGCAAGTAAAGGAGGGTAAAAGTAAGTACTGGCACTATTACTGAAAGAAAAAATAAAGTGGCAGAGGCAGGCAAACCAAACAAGGAAAAAATGAAAGTGGATAAAGAAATAGTAATAATTTAAGAAGAGGAAGATGGTGTGGTAGCAGAAAGCAACAAAAACTGTAAAGCATAAATTAAAGGTAAGAGAAGGTGATGGAGGAGGTAGAATTTCCTAGAATAAAGTTAAATGATGCTGACTTTCCCACTATAAGAGTGACCATGACAGTAAGCCCTCCAAGCTACCTTGCCAATACAATGCTCCCAGGTCATTTAATTTTCAAGAACTGCCATCTACATCACTGAATTATATCAAACTATCCTAATCAATACATAAAAATTTGTTAAAATATGGTTCATTGAGAAATACTACTACTGTATTTGCAATGACACCCACAAACTGTATATGCTGAATATACCATGCAATTACACCCATAACAGTAGTCCTTGACACTTATGAAAGTTGTTTTGAATTATTAAATACAGCATTACCTCTCACAGGCTAATATGGACATGCCAACACAAAATATAATGGAAGCCTCAAAGATGAAAAGGAAGGATAAATCTTAATATAAGGAACCATTATCCATATTTAGCAACCTTAGGCCATTCCTAACTGAACACAAAGGATAAGAAAATATGAAAATACAGGTATTACAGATTCTTGCCAAGCTCAAATGATAACTTTGATTTCTTTTAGATTTGATTGAAATTAAGAAAATTTTAGTTTTTCCAAAAACTTGCCTGTTTAGGTTAACCAGAATTATTTTTCCATTACCGTACTGACCTTCACCCAGAATGAGGCTACATCAATTATATTATTCACTGTTAGGCAAGCATTAAATCAGCCATTATAAACTAGTATATACACTACAGTATAGTACAGTGATCCCTCGGTTAACGAAATTTCGGTTAACGAATTACCTTCCATAATATTCTTCACTTCGGTTAACGAGCACACCCTCGGTTAATGAATTCCTTACGAATTTTTCCCAACATGGGTCGGCGTACGGGAATGGAGGCTGGTTCCGAGGCAGAGGGCAGGCTACTGGCCCTCAGGTGAGTCATCATCAGTCATCCACACTTATCAGTGCCTCCCTGACAAATCCCTCAAAGTCACCATCACTGTCTGTCACTATCACTGGTTTGGGCTGGCTGTGATGGGTTGCGGGCGAAGAACTCAGTAATGCTTTGCTGACGGCTGGTGTTGATGTTGTCGTCATACACCTTGATGTAGGGCTCCATAGTCTGCAAAAGCTGGGTAGTGAAGACTTCATACAGGTTATCGTCAGGGTCGTAGGAAAGGAGCAGCTCGAGTTTCTCAACACACTCGATGGCACCCCTTACATTACTATGCGATAACTTGCGTTCTTCTTGGGATGACTCACCACCTGCCTCTTCACTGACGTCATCATCTAACATTTTGTCGGCAGTCACATCAGGATCCCTTATCACCTCCATAATGTCGTCGATGGTGGTCTCGGAGAAGCCTGCAGCTGTAACACTCTGCGCAGCTTCTCTGGCAAGGTCCACTGCTACTCCAACAGTCTGAACCTCACCAGTCACAGATTGACTCTGCCTCCCACCTGGAATACCTTGCAACACATGTCTCCATGCGTGACGAACCGTTGCTACAGACAGCTGATCCCATGCCTCCCCCAAGAAGTCCACCGCTTTCTTGACGTTGAATTTTCTCCAAAAACGTTTCACAAGTACTTCTTGCTCTGCCAACTGTTGTTCCTCGTCCTCTTCGCCCTTGCTATCGGTGTCACCCAGATTACGCAACTCATCCTTGGTGTTGGTATAGCAATTCAGGAGCTTAAACTTCTTTATAGAGAATGCAGCTTTCACATTACAGATCAATTCTTGGTCCATGGGCTGTATTAATGACAGTGTTGGGAGGAAGGAAGACCACTTTATGTTGGGGTGACGATCCAACAGTAGGGTCGAGTGTCCTGGTGCGTTGTCAAGCAGCAACAAAATCTTGAATGGAACATTCTGTTGCTCAGAATTTCTTCACGTCAGGAACGAAACAGTCATCAAACCAGGAGAGGGACAGAGTAGAGAACATCCACGCCTTACGTGCGGTCAGCCAGTGGTCAATTAGCTTGGTCATGTCCATGCTCTTGTAGGCGTGCGGCTTGCGTGGATCACCTATAACTTCATCTTACAGGTACCGGAGGCATTGGTGGTAAACAGGACGGTGATGCGCTCCTTCTGCAACTTCCGGCCCCTACACTTGCTGGCATTCTTCACAACGAAGGCCTTGGACGGTATCTTTTCCAAAAAAGACCATATTCGTCCATGTTAAACAACACCTGGTGGTCCGTGTACAGTCCTTCCTCCATAATCTCGCGTAAAAACGGAGGAAAATCCGTAGCCGCAACACGGTCAGCACTAGCTTCTTCACCACCAATGTTAATGTTGGTGATCTTGTTCCTCTTCTTAAACCTCTGCAACCACCCAGAGGAAGCATTGAAGAGTTTGGGCTCTGCAATTCCCATCTTACGTGACACTGCAGCATACAGTTCACATGCGTACTCCTTAACTGGGCGCGTGTCCACCGCCATGTTCCGTCGCGCCTGACGAATCAAGTAGCTCACAAGTAATTTCTCCGTCTTGAGAAGCACCTGGTTGTGGAAATACTTGATCATAGAAGCACCTGTAGACTTTGTGATGTTCATGTGCTCCTTTATCTTGGCTGCATCCTTCTTGATCGTCTGGATCGTAAATTCGTTAACACCATGTTGGCGTGCAAGATCAACCTGTCTTATTCCTTTCTCCAACTCTTGGATGATCTTGTATTTAATTTCGTAGCTTAGGGAAAGTCGTATCTTCTTTGGCTTAGGGCGGTTGGGTCCAGGTAATGCAAGGTTTCTTTGCGGTGGTGGTGGTGGTCCGGCGGAACCATTCTTATGGAACAATAGATACCGATATACACGGTGTAGCCTGAAGGGGTGTAATTGGCGCAGGTGGGTCAAGGGGCTTGAACGCTCCCGCGGCGGAGCACGTCATAGTACATGAAACCAATCACAGCTAGCGGGGGAGGGAGGTAAGGATGCTTGGCCCAATCACAGTCCGATATATCATATGACGTCACCGATAACGCAACAAAGACATACACTGTGCGACCTACTCGTGCTGCTTACCCAACATGGCGAGAGGTTTGAATCCAAAAATGACGCGGCGCGACATGACCGCCAGCCGCTCTCCGCGTAAAAAAGTACATGCACCGCCTAAGGTGAGCATTCCGTGTTGGCTGGGTGCAGCGTGGCGTGTAAAAAAAAGGATTAGAGATATATATATACATACATTAAAACTCCGCTTAGCGCGATTTCACGTATACGCGGTGCCTCCCCAGAACCGAACTTTCACTTAACGCGGGTTTTTTCCACGTGTGTGTGTGTGTGTGTGTGTGTGTGTGTGTGTATATATGTATATGTATGTATGTATGTATGTACACACACACACCATTTTTAGTGCATATAACACGTGGACTTTGAACATATAATCAACGACCTCACCAGCCAGGATTCGAACCCTCAACCTACTGGGTGGGACTAGGGAATGCTACCGACCAACCCACAAGGACACTAAAAGCAGTCCTAGGCTCTGTTATATTTCACACAAAGCCTGTTCATCGAGCTGATGGCGCCGTGAATCTCATTGGGACTAAAAATGAAGTATATATATATATGGTACCTCGTGTTTCATACCAGCTGGATTCGGTAAAATGCCAGCAAGAATAAACACACCCACAGGGAGCATAACTCTTTAGACAGAAAAGGAGTAAAAACAGGTTCCTAACTTGCATTTTGGGTTACGGTTAATTAGCAATTATTAATGATATTACTGTACATGCATAAAAAAAAACTATTATACTAGTAACCACTATATACACTGTACACTCTTTAAAGCTTTTCTCCACTTTGTTTTGTGTAAACCTTTGTAACTAGCAGCTGTACACTTAACACACACTGAATGTATGGTAACACTAAACAATACTGTATAAGCAACAGATAAAGAATTAAGAGGCAACAGTAAAATAGTTAATCTTTTAATTATACAATGAGCAAAGAGGTACAAGACAAAGCCGGCCTCGACCAGGTTTAACCATCAAATCCGAGGATTGGATTAAGCCAGAGAAGGGATGGAGTGAGATAATGTTACTAGATGAACTCATGAAAGCCAAACTAATGACTGGAAAAACTTAATTTCCCTCAAGATGTTGGGGAAGTAATGTTTAACCAGTTCATTCCAGAGGAGCCTCAACCTACTGTTCAAGGGAGAAGCTGCACATTGTAGTTGTCTGAGCAGTTTAGTATCTAGACCACAGGTATATTTCAGACTCGTGATATATCCTACCAAATATCAGCAACGTTATCTTCTGGTGCCCACAATCTGGCGAGTCAATCTGACCTCTGACAATGATGACTCCATGGCGATGTACAAAATATAAAATAATGAGCAGCACAAGTTACTTTTAATATTACATCATGTCAGTGGTGGGCACGGTTCCGCTAATCAGCGAAGCTAACTTCCTCGGTAGGGGATTAGCTTTTTCACTAACTTTGGAAACCATTAGCGGACCAATTAGCTTCCGCTAAATTTAGTTCCACTATCAAAATTTATACATGTTTGTTCCTGTGACGCAGCGACGCATGTCTCCAACAGCCAGTCAGGCACGCTTGGCTGACTGCGTGTTAGTTCAGTCGACCCTCGTTAATTGGGACCCCTTTAATCCGGATTTCGGATAATTCAGACAAAATTTGAATTTTTTTTTTTTTTTTTTTAGATTTGTAGGATTATTACCTAAGCGGACCTTAACCTAAAATGCTGGTCCACCCACTGCTGGGATAAAACACCAGTGTCTTTTTGGTTAAATGTAACATCACCACTAGTGTGGGGGAGGATGCAACTTTTAGCTTCAGACATGAAAAATATTTACCATTTACTGCCAGTAAACAATGAAAACATAAAATATGTACCAATTAGTAATGAAAAGTTGTGCAGTGCCTTTAACAAATGAAGCTCACCAACTTACAATTGGCTAAATTACCTTACGTGTTTTCAGTAGTCTATGTTGAAATTCTTAGCACAGGCTAACTTATCATATCATATACGGTATCACAGTTCTCACTGAGCTACAAAAAATACCGGTAATAAAAACCTTTTCGATATTTCACACTTAATATAATACCCGGTAATCTACTTCAACCTCCTATTGTTTACAACGATGCATGACGCACCACCAGCTGTTGAGTATCAGCTAGACGGTACACGTGTTTTTCGAATCATTTTCAGTTAAAAAGCTGTTACATCACACGTATATTATACCTAAACTGCGCCTGAATGAATATATTCTCGGAAATAAATAGTGGTTTTGCTGAAACGTGATGTATTTTAATGTAAAATAGGATAAAATACATGACGAAAACAAAAGATTTTACCTAACCTTCCGATGTTCAAGAGAATATACACCTAGACCCCGACTTACGACTTTGGACTTACGACCGTCGGGACTTACGACCGCCTCAGATAGACACGCATTTTCTATACCGAAACGTTTCCAGTTAATGTAGTCTCCATGTATAATTAGAAAATTATGGGGGCCCCATGTGCATTCAGCTGACTACATTAAAGGTTAAGTGCTCAGTCACACTGTATCCATTCCTTATTATTTATTACTTTCACTGTACTGTATCCATTCATCATTATTCATTACTTTTACTGTACTGTATTTCATTGTAGATTTTTTATTTATCTATATCGGACTTACGACCATATCGGACTTACGACCTGGATTTGGGTCCCTAACCCCGTCGTAAGTCGGGGTTTATGTACTTTTTTCAAATAGTTTTTGGTTAAAATACTGTTATTTTACAATGGTATTCTATTCATACTGTGCTTGATATAAAGCATTCATGGAAAAGGAATATTTTTGCTGAAATGACGTACATATTACAGTGGAAAGTTGGATAAAATAGTGACAAAACAATGACTTTCGCTTTCTTTCGTTCAAAAGATGTTACCGTAATCGCTTTTCGATTGGTTTTCCGTTAAAAAACTGTTGTATTACAATAATATTCTATCCTAATTGACTTGAATAAATACTACGGATTAGAGGTTAGCAAAGCTAACTTTTCGTTTAGCTGTGCCCACCACTGCATAATGTATTGTAGTTTTAAATATGCTTTGAAATCTTCCACAATTTACTACAAATTTACTTGGAAGATTAAGATCAAGCTCCAAATTGGCCATTGGTCGGCTCAAAACAAAACCTGTACTGGAATCAACACTTGTAACTCTCCTCTCATTAAAAGTTCTCCTTCCTAGGCAATGTCCACAACAAAGACCTAGAGAGATGACAGTACAGTATTTCCATATTCTCAAATAACTGCCAACATTATTTCTCTGGTTATATTTGATTAGACAAACTTAATAAATCACCAGCCCCTTTGTAACCTGACCCGAGAACCTAATTACTAGTGTACTCTCTCTCTTCTGCTGTGTGAATGATACAACTGAGTCTGGTTCACCCCAACACCCAAGACCTCTACTATATATAATACGTACTGTACAGTACCAGTAATGGAGTGGAAGTATGAAACTAAACCAATGCTATTTACTAAAAGATTCTTAAAGGTTAAGTTTAATCATACATGAAGTGTTACATAAGCTTTAGGCATTAAAATGTTTGTAAGTACTGTACAATAAAAGGTTTTTTTTCTAGGGGGAGGCAAAGAGCAGGAGATTTTAATGTAGGCAAAAGCTTATGAATCTAACAAGCATATTTTGTAAGATTTAAAGCAAAGCTTAAGAAGGAAACCACTCCAGTCTTCAAGCTTTTACAAATACAAATAGTAAGCTCGATATAGTTCAATTGCTCATGCCAGGTTAATATCCGCTCACTTTCCCTTCATTAATCTTAATGGCTCCTTTACCACAATGAGGCCACTCCATCCTGTACTCAGACGTGAAAGTATCAACAACAAATAAAACCACTGAAATTATTGTACAAGTTTCATCTCATAAGTAAACCTAATGATTTTACATCAGTATATTCCATTGCTCAACACTGAAGTTTATAATGAAAAACAAAAAATTATGTTCTATCTCTCAACATTCTCCATTCCCAAGTGGGTTGGTACAGTACTCAGTAACCATCAACACATGAACCCTAAACCACACAGCCAACCTTTTTTTACCTGAAATGTTTAAAGATCCGACTTTATCCTTCACCGTACATTACCCTAGAGAAGCGCTTACAATTCTCATGGGCTTAATAGCAAGACTATTAGATGTATTAGACCTGGGATATTAGTTACAAAATTAAGTTCGACTGTAACGAGGAAGCCTAATAAGCCTTGACCACGCAGGAATCACAATGTTGGAGGGTTGTAAAGGTAAGGTCCCCTTCTCTCTCCTACTCATGAATTCATTTCTCTATCCTTACCATTTTGTTTTGTTGTAACTTCCCACTACTGTCCTATACATCTATACCTGCTACATCCCTCAATGTTCCCATACTCTTGATTATTGATTCAAAGAGAATTTTTCTGATATTCAACACAGATGCCAACAGTACGTCTTTCAGCACTGCCAATAAAGTCGGTCACTTTAAGAGGTGGTTCATGGCTATGTTCATACACAAGAATCTACACACACTTGCCCCTTAAATTCTGATAGGAACAAAACACCCATATTATGAACCTGATAATACAAACCAAGACAATTGTGTAGATCACTTAACTTCGTGAATTAACCAAATGACCGAGTGGATTAATTTTAACAGCCAATGATTCAATGGTTTTAGAGAAGCTAAAATATATAGACAGAGGCCACATTAGATAGTCCACTTACCAAGAAGAATGAATAATTATGAAGCATTCAGGAAATGTGAAAATAGTAATGGAAATCTCGATTCACTTTACTCGTTGTAGATTAAACTTTAAATAGATTAATTGCATATTGTTGAGAGACTTGGTGCAACTGCTTAATTAGAAATGGAGAAAGTTTGGGAGATAAAACTTGTGATAGGAAGTGACTAGCTATGATCTCTGCCATTCACTCACACAAGATATCTTACAACATAAGAGGCACTAACACTATAGTCCTTATCATCTTTAATTGCATCAACTCACCTCAAATTTTACCGAGGCCTCACTTTGGCGTGAGGCGTCGCAGCCATTGCAAGCCACGAGCCAGCGTGGGTGGACGTGGGACTTGCCCACACTCCTTCTACGAGGTAACACACATGATCATGCTTAAATCTGACAAATATCTAGTCTTCAAAATAACAACTAAAACAAAAAATAAAAACACCAAAGGATCTAATTTAAATGGAAGTGACTACTTAGCCGGGAGTTCTCGGCCGGGCAGCCTGGAGGCTACTTTGCCGGGAAACCAATCATAGCGATTTGGCGAGCACAACGATGGTATTCTCGACTAATTCATGTGCTGTTCTAGTATTACACTGTAGGTATATGCAGTATCACCCATTTTGAAAAAATGTATTGATAGAAATTTTTTTTTTCTAGAATCTCTGCCACAACTGAACACATCTTGTTTTCCAATATTCTTCAACTCGACATCTTGCCATGTATCAAGCTTCGCACAAGTCATCTAAAGTACAAATAAACCACAGGAACAAGATATTTCATGTATCAAGTCATCAAACAAACTAAATAAAGTACAGAGGGAGATTTACAGAGTACTGTACAGTAAAGTAGATCTATACAGTACAATTTCCAGCTCATAAGCCAAGGTCTGAAGGTTCTCTGACCTCACCACCCAAGGAACATGAGCTCATGAGAGGATAAGTTTTTTATATGTGAATTTAACAGACCTGCCTGGTAGGAGAGGTGAAGAGTAAGGTGACAGGTTTCTAGCATTACACAACCTTTACACCACATTTGAATTCATAAATAAAATTGACAGGAAACTACTATTGTACTCACATGTAAAAATTTTCACATAAAAAATTATGACTATAAATTATATTAATTCTACTAATACATTTCTTTATAATATGATCGATATATACCTATGGTGTACTGCTGGAACAGCACACGAATTAGCCGAGAATACAGTCACTGAGCACACCAGCTCATCATGATTGGTTTTCCGGCAAAGTAGCTTCCAGGCTACCAGGCTGAGAATTCCCGGCTAAGTAGCCACTTCCATTTTAAAAACGGTCTTGGGTTATAGTTTTTAGTAACTATCATATCAAAGATATTTTTAGCCATTTTAATTAGTCCATAAAAAATGGGGGAAAAGGAGCATTTCTGGCATATTTCCAATCCTTAAGAAACAGCAAAATACACAGCTTTCTCTTACTAGCACTTCCCCTTAACTTCACACATTCTTTTCCAACTGAATCCTCCGAAAGCAAGGCCTGTCACACTGTACTTGTTGCTACAGTACAACCAAAGCACTTCATCACTTGCCAACATCCACACAGTACCTACCACTACACAGCTGGGGGTTAAATGAACCTTTCAACTTAAGAATTTTAACCAAGCACAACAATGCTCCCTAAATCATACTAACACCCATCTCACCCACATGGTACTTCTACTTTGTTCTTACCCTCATTAATGCTCTCCTCCCTTTACATCATCTTCGCCATCCCGTTCATCTTCAGTACGTACTTAACATTTTCACCATTCATGTTCATCCAATCTCATGATAAAGTTTTTGAATTAGTTGATATCAAACAACGAATTCAAAAACTTCCTTTTTCTTAATCCAAATTTGCCTTTCTTGCATTTATATATTCTTTTTCTCTGCCAATTTCCATTCTAAAGCCTAACTCTTCATCTATACTTGTCAACAACTTTCACACATATTTAACATTGCATCACGTCTGACTGCACTAAACACTACCTTGCCACAGACTGCCTTCATAAAGGGGTAGATTTATATAACAAACCCACATCAACACTGTACCAGACAAGAGGACGAACACCACTGACAAGATAAAACTGACCACGAAGAATCCAGAATACCACACGACACAGCTAAGACAATGCCACAAGTACAGTAGTGTCCCAAGTAATTATTCCGTAGAACATCTCGTAAGGGCCACCATAGAATCTATTCCAGCACTTGAGTCTTATGTTTATGTACACAGTTTTAGTCTGTGTTCTAATTCTACAGGTACAGTATTCAAACAGACCATCAAGAGGCTACAACACATCACTTCCTCAATACAGTACAGTACCACTGGAAGGAAAATGAAATTGTTTCAGGTTCATATACCCACTCCTCCAATATTTCTGTCTAGAAAATTTCATATCAAACTGGAGCCACAGCAATGTAAGAAAAACTGCACGACCATTAAACTTAACCAAACTATTACCGACATGAAACTACACAAGCCTACCAATGTTTTATACAGGAAGATCAAGGACAAGTGACCAAGTTCTCTAACAGGGACATAATAGGTTCTCAAATCATGGAGCACCAAAGCACAAACACCATAGAACCTAACTATATTAAGCTGTGGATAACAATGTAATATTCCAGTACAGTACAGTAGTACCCCGATTTACACGGTCAATTGAACCCACAGGGTACCGCGTTAAGTGAAATCCGCGTAAATGGAACAACAGAACATATGGGATTAATTCCAATAGAGACTGGCCCGACCCCCAAACTCCACTTTTTGATGACACACAACTATGTTGTAGTAAAAATATTATCTTAACTTTATGATGGTATGCACACGCAATTAATAATTAAGAGAAATATCAATAATATTAGGTTTTTTAACACTTACATTAGTAGAAAAGATGGGTGGGCACACGGGGATGGGGGGTTGGTTCCGAGGCAGAGGGCAGATTATTGGCCCTCACCTGTATCACTTGTATCAATTGTATCACTATCTACCACAGAGGCTTGCAGGGCCTCTTTGTCAAACCCCTCAAAGTCCATATAAGTCCATATCCTCACTATAATTAATATCACTGACTTGGGCCGGCTGTGGTGGGTGAAGAACTCGGTAATGTTTTGATGACTGGGCGACCTTGTGCGCATCGTGCCCGCGCCGCTTCCCGCGTATATGAGTAGATGAACCGCGTTAAGTGAAAGTTCGGTTCTGGCGAGGCACCGCGTATATGAGAAATCGCGTTAAGTGAAACCGCGTAAAGCGGGGTAATACTGTAGTTTGTATACCAAGCAGATCCTCCCCACTGACGCAGCCTGCCCATTCAGGTACCCAGAAATAAACAAGCAGGATAAAAAGACTAAGTTAAGCAAAATATTCAATAATTTGAAGTAAAAATCGGGACAAACTGACACAGGCAACATTTCATATTCTGGCATGTAATGGTTTACATCACAACACCTGGGTTGCCATTGTACTCTACCAGTCTACAAGTATACAGTACTCCACAAATACAGGTAAATGCTTTAGATAATACACAGTTAAGTAGTAAACCTTAAGAGTCATGCAATATTAGGGTGATTAAATGATCTGGTATAAGGGACTTGCAAAACCTAAATCATAATACAGGACTAATAATCATACCACTAAACCTTACACTGTCAAATTATTAGACTAATACAAGACAGTTCACACCCACTCAAGACCTACATCATGCACCTCATACAAGAGCAGTGTGTGGGGGTACTTACCGTTCCTACAAGAGGGTAGAGGAAGCCGGCACCGACTGATGCTCGTACGTCTCTAACGGGAATTTTGAAGCCTGTGGGTGCGCCCTTCTTACTAGGATCTGATGTCAGGGACAGGTGAGTCTTAGCCATACATATTGGAAGGTCATTGAAGCCCTGAAAAAGCCAATATATCAACCAAAATACTGCACTATATGCGGTTTCCTAAACATTGTTTCGTTCACTACAATAACGGCAATGTATCAATTAGTCTCTCAATGGTATTGATCACCATAAGACTAATAAATTACGATAAAGTCTAATAACAACGCCAATCACATGAGGATAATTCATTCCTGGCAATGTCATACAAATGGGATGACAGCCATTCTGAGAGTAACTACTGTACTAACAATTGAGTACAGTACTTGGAATCATTTGATCATATGTGCACCCATCAATCACCAACAAGACTCGCACTAAGCCTCACAAAACACAGCAGAAAATTGTTGGATAACTTAATTATTATATAAACTGTATTATACTTCAGTCAAGTAGAACCAACCAGTCATATATGGATCATCTTTCCATTTAAACCACTGGTACAGTTACCTGCTACTGGAGAGATCAGACAAACTATAACCCTCCAGAACAAATCCAAAAACCATGATAATGAAGTAAATACTATACATTAATGTATATGTAAATGAACAAGATTGAAAGTAACTACTGAGGTGAATTAACCATAACTGACAGAGTAATCAAGTGTTATTTGATGAAAAGGTAGGTAACCCGCAGAACTAAATTGTTACATTTCAGATACAAAATGAACGGGGAGAGTGGTTGGCTACTAAATTATAACCAATGGACCACAAAAGCTTAATGCCGGTGAATGCCACTGACAAAACAACTACAGCTTGTGGGTGTAACATAGCTCCTCTACACTGTGTGAGGGATCTATAGAGGAAACCCAAGTGCAAGACAAAAATACAAGATGGATCACAAATTGGGCCGTACTGTATATTGGAAATACTGTACTAAACTCAATCACAAGTCCACAAATTGCCAGAAAAAAAATAAGACAATACCGAGAGTCCAACATCAGTGCCAATTGGGTTTTCAAATATAAATAAATAATGCTGCCCATCGTGTAACGAGGATAGCCGGCCAAAGGGCCACCTTGGCATGAATTTATTTAAGGTGTAGAAGCTGTCGCCAACATAACAACCACACCCTAAGTTAATGAGCTGCATGACCCAGTGTTTCAGGTGTAGAAGATGTCGCTAACATAACAACCACACCCTAAGTTAACAAGCTACACACAGTGTCAAGGAATAGTCCGAGAAGACCAGACAACTCGTTAACTGCACTGGCTAACCATTACCCCGGAGCACAATCCGCAAATCGATTAACATCCAGGTTCCCAATTACTGCTGGGTAGACAGAGGCAAATGCGTAAAGAAACTTGCCCATAGTTTCACCCTGCCCGGGGATTGAACCCGAGTCCGCTCGCTCGTGAGGTGAGCATGCTGACCATTACACCACAGCAACATGCATAGATGAAGAAAAAAAAAAGAAGCAACATATTTTAGATCAATATGCAGGTTTTGTTCAGTTGTGGATGTAAGGCATCCTATATAACCCATACAAAAGACTACAGTGTGTGTGTGTGTGTGTGTGTTTGTTTGTGTGTCCCGACCTGTTTCCGGTAGCGGTTAATCTGTTCTTGCGCCTCAGGTTGGATCTCTATGTCGTCAGCGCCGTAGATCTTCTGGGCAATGGCACGAATCTTGTCCTCTATGGGATGATTCAAGTTGTACAGGAACCTAAAATGAAGAGCTCCAACATTTAGTCAATTCATTCCATAAATATCTGTACAAGGACAAACTTAAGACTTGTTTTCTATAACTTATCACCTGATTTAAAGACGGGTCTTACAAAACTTCAAAAGGAGATCCTGCAAAATTATGAAATGGATCGCACAAAATTCTGTGAATGCTGAAGTTTTCTCCTGTGTTTTCACTCACCCACCTTCCAAAATTCACAGACATTTTCCAAGCAATCAAAGGCAATGTCATGTGCATGTTATCTATCTTCAAGCTTCCACATTAAATGACTCTTGCACTTGTCATCAACAGCCACACACATTCACATCTAAAAATATAAAATCAAACTTCAGTTGCTCCAGACTTACAGAGCATTACACAAGTTCATTAACTGTATCTATAACAAAAGTGAAGAACTTGCAAACCGTATGCAATGGAAGACACAAATTCATGGAAAATGTCTCGGATATGTGGGTTACCTTCCTCGGGTTATCAGAAGCATATACAGTACTAGATTCTTTATACTTAGCTTTCTCCCACAACTCCACTACTACAGATGAGTGGTTACCAATGCTTCATATTTCAAGGTGGACACATTTGTTTTTGAATAATTTTGATTAAATAATAATAATGACCTTTGTAAGTATCATACAGCAGTCCTTTGCCAATTCATTTATCTATTTCCTACAGACAGTAATTTTGTAACGTCATCTATCCATTTGGCCATCTACCAGCAGCCACCAGTTCTTACTTGAAATCTGAAGGTTGGTTTGAGGCAGCAACAACAGCCTCTGCCAACTGGACTGCTCCAGCTCCTCCCTTGGCCCAGTGGTTGCAGATAACAGCATCAACAGCACCAGCATCTATGGCCAGCTTCTTCATCAGATTCAGTTCAGCTTCTGTGTCAGTTCTGAAAATAACACAATTTACATCATAATTTTGAGAGCTTCATTTTCATTACTAAACCCTCATGAAGCTGGTCTTGTGCAATTCTTTTTTAGTCACACCTCATTAATTCACAATCTATATACGAGAGAGAAAGAGACTAATAATTCAACAAAAAAAGTTTATCCCTTACAGAAGGGTCAACCTTTACAGTAGACAACTTGTACAAAATCAAAGACTATGACACCAACAACTGAATGACTCCTATATATAACACTTCATTAATTTCATTCTTATTTACAAAGAACACAACAGCTATACTCACATGAAGGAGTTGATGGCTACTACCACTGGGATACCAAATATCCTACCATTTTCAATCTGCTTCCTCAAGTTGCTGAAGCCTCCCTCAACTAGCTCCAAGTTTTCCTGGTAAAGAGAAAGTTTGACTAATACCCTGAAAAATTACTGAGCATAAGTAGTCCTGTCACACTATGAGGGCCATTGTCACTATGGGGCCATTATCACACTTTGGGAGCAGTTGCCAGAGTCCTGATGGTCACCAGGTGTCCTCAATGACTGTGCTAATATTGTATTAATAATCAGCATCCATTGAGTAAGGAGTTCCAGGTTTTTCCTACATTATTAAGCAGTTTAGTTCTTACGGTAATCAGTCAAATGGGTCCTAACATAACCATTCCTAACAGACTTCAATTCTAATGATTAAGTGAGGCTGGCTGGAGCTTAGTAAAGAAAACAAAACAATTGACCTGCAATCCTCCATACTATGCAATGGTTGGCATCAAGTGTGTAAAGCAATCCCCCATCAACCTACTTTAGTGTACTCGGGTGGGAGAGGTACTCCCGGTGTGACGGTAGGACCGCCACCGTGCATCTTGAGGGCTCGTACCGTGGCCACCAGAACCACAGCGTTGGGCACCAGACCAGAGTACCGGCACTTGATGTTGAAGAATTTCTCCATACCTATGTCGGCACCAAAGCCAGCTTCTGTCACCACAAAGCCCTCTGCACCAACCAGCTGTGGTAATGTTGAATGGAATATACTGCACTATTAAACCATGTGATTAAATTGAACAAATGGGACCTGCACGTTGGTTTTAAAAATAACCAAAATAAACTTGCAAGTAGTCTTTACTCGAAAGAGGTGCTAATGCATGCCAGGTGGTGATATACTCAATGCTGTGGCCTTGTCTTTTGGCCATTTAATCTGAAAATCTTTCTAATGCTTGAACTTAAGATGAGAACACGACAATAACAAACACTGTAGCCATCTCTGTTCTTGAGGTATGTTGACATACACAGCTTGGTAACTACAGTATACAGACAAATAGACAGATGGTGCTAATTCCCCTACTCATTTAGCCTTGATGGCATGAGTAACAATAGTTTATTCAATAATTAATCTAAAAGAATTGCATTTAACTACACACGAGTTTTAGACATGCCCAATAATTGTCTGTTCTAGTCATAAGAAAAATTACCTTAAGTGCAATCTTATCAGCCAAGATGGAAGAGTTGCCATGGGCAATGTTGGCAAATGGTCCAGCATGTACAAACACTGGTGTGCCCTCCAGGGTCTGCATGAGATTAGGCTGGATGGCATCCTTCATGAGGACTGTTAGTGCACCACTCGCTCCCTAGAAAGATAAAAACCAAAGGCCATCGAGCGTTTTAAAAATATAAACCCTACAGTTAAATTCAGTTTTTACATCTAACAAATAACTGAAGCAATTTTCTCAATCTAGAAACCTCACACAACAGCAAACAAATCTTGCCAAATGATATTCACTTTCACTTTCTTTACAAGTTTGTTCCTATTAAGTGTACAAGTCAACCAAAATGAAGAGCCCCACACACACACACACACACACACCCTTCTTATACTGTTTATCCTCTCTAACTGCCAGGCCATGTGTTCTGCTATGGTGGTCCTCGTCCACAACAAGGCCTCAAGATACAGTACTCATAGGATTTACATGTACGTACTTCATAATAACGTACACCCAGGCATACCCAGCACAACTATCCTGATAAATATCTTTCAGCCTGGTCCACACATCACACTGCTGCTTCATGCATTTCCATCTCCCTCCCTTCCTGTTCTTCATCCTTGGTCTTCTGTTTCTGTCATCAACTTCTAATTTATACCTCTTCTTGAATCTGCTGTTGCCTATCTCCTCAAAATGCCAACACAATATGTGGAATTAACGACTTTATGCAATTACATTCTAATAAAAAATTAAACAAACTAAATAGTTATCAACATTATTAACCCTTTGGCCCCGGGTGACGTTCCAGAACGCTCGCCTTTTACTGCCACTGTTTAAATGCCCAGAGCGGGTTATCAGGTTCCCTTGTGACTATTTGTCTATCACACCACACCAACCACAGAGAAGCTTCCTGAACGTAAATACTGATTTCGTTGGTTTCATTTTCATTGTTTGTCCATTTTATTATGTTGTATCAAAGTAATATTGCCAAAAGTAGTGTAGTTGTATTGTAGTGTAGTATTACTGGAAGATAATGCTATGATTATGTTATAAATGTATTTATTTGTGGAATTATTATTATTTTATGTACGTATTACTTGCTATACCAAACACACAGAGAGAAGTGTCATGATCAGTAAATATATGCATTAGTGACCACCTCGGACACAAAGACAAGCTAAAATTAGCCCTCTTACCTCCCTCCCTCTTACGAGCCGTCAGAGGGAAGCTTCTTGGTAAATAACTTGTTTGTTTATTTTCATTGTCTATTTTATCATGTTGTATCAAAGTAATATTACTAAAAGTTGTGTAGTTTTATTTTAGTTTAGTATTACTAGATGATAATGCTTCGATTATGTTAGAAATGTATTTATTTGTGGAATTATTATTCCAATAATTATTTGTATGACCTACGTGCTCTCCCAAACAAAGCCTGACGACAGACTGCGTGTGTGTGTTGCTGAGAACTGCTTATGAAGAGAAATGCAAATAAAATAAATTATAAATGAATTATTTATAAGATACGAGTATTATGATCAGTAAATATATGCATTATTGGCCAACTCGGACACAAAGGCAAGTGGAAAAATGACCCCTAAGTGCATAGTGACAGCAAGCACTTGATGTAAAAAAAAAAAAAAAAATAAATAAATAAAAATAAAAATAAACTTTCCCTTTATTTGCCTCGTCATTGAGGCGCCACAGAAGAATATTGAGGGACAATGTATAGTTTTCTTATTTCTTTTTTATTGTTTTATCATTTATAAAGGTTAAAATTTATTTTTGGAAAAGTTGATCTTTCTCATTTTACCCTGCATTGGGGGTAAGGCCGGCGGCACCCTAGCCCGGGGCGTAAGGGTTAATCATTACTGTAACTTCAACACAGCTTCAAACAAGATATTCCTGAGACAGAGTTGCTCACCAAGTCTTCTGCAGTGACAGGGTTACCAGATGTATCAGAGGCAACAACCATCTTCCCCAACCGCTCCCTCATGTCTGACAGGGAGGTCGTCAGAGCCAAGATGGCCATGATCTCACTTGCCACTGTGATGTCAAATTGACATTCTCTCGTGTTGCCCTTCTCTGTGGGACTCTGGCCAATGGTGATCTTCCGCAGGAACCGGTCATTTGTGTCCATAACTTCGGACAGATGCATTATTAGTCAGTTAATTTCATGCAATTTCCCAAAATATATAACTAAGAATTTAGCAATAAAAAAATAATAATTTTACAATAATGTTGGGAAAAGAAAAGCTGGTTAAAATATGAGGGAGGATATAACAGAGCATAAGGTTGACCAAGATGCCTCACTTCATTAATATGTGAGGTCAGCCATGCTAGAATAATCAACAGTAAGATGTGAACTAACCTCTCTGCCAGGTAATGGTCGCTGGATCAATGTTTAAACGCACAAACTTGGTTATCTCCTCCTCAGACAATTTGTCAGGGTTAGTTTCTACAATACCCAATTTCTTCAAGCGGTTCACCTGTTGTGCCGAGAAAATTTAAAGAGTATTACTGAACCTAAGTAATATGACAACAGTACTCGGGACACAAAATTTGTAACGCAAGAAAATATTCAAGAAATACACAAGTTACTTTAGCAACTTATTCACTAAAGACACTGATTATTTTTCAACATTGGTTACACTTCTCATGCTTCCTCACTATCTCTTCAGCCATCGTACAGTATTTCTTAATACTTACCCATTTACCTCAAATTACAGGAGTCAGTGACACCCAGAGTCCGCCCATCAATATAATCAGTGATGTTATTCCCATGAACCACAATAACCAACAAACCTGGATCTGTGAGAACTGACGAACACCCTTGATGTTAGGAACCAGTCTACCATACAGGGCTTTGTCAGTCTGGGTGGACTCGTGGAACATCCTGGCATCAATCTGGGCAGCCAAGAGGTTGTTGGCAGCTGTGATGGCATGGATGTCTCCGGTCAGGTGGAGGTTAAACTCATCCATGGGAATCACCTGAGAATACCCTCCTCCAGCAGCACCACCTGTAGGACCCCCAACATAACACATTAGTTATACTCCAGTGATTGTTTACCTCTTAATACTACATAGGTCTGGTAAGCATGCAGGAAAACATAACATTAGACAGTTAAAGTGACATCACACCTGACACTTTTAGAGTTATTTTCGTGTATAAACTTTCCGAAGGATTGTTATTTTCTCTGAGCGTTCCCTTGTGATACACACGTATGTATTGTTATTCGTCAACTGCAAACCCCGGCCAAGCACTTCTAATGTAAACAAACATATCGGATGTATACTGTATGTACTGTATTTAGGAAAATTAACCTCAATAAAAATTGTAAACTTAAGAAATGTTTTTAAGAATGTGATACTGAAGACAGTAAACCCTCGCCATGGTCTCAGAATGTATTAGTACTGTACTGTATAACTCGGGAAATGCCGAAATATATAAAATTATCTGGGAAAATATCGGCATATCTAGCCACCTGGATCACCTACCATGCCTGTGTCACCATGCCCCTGTCACCTACCAGGCATCTGTGTCACCTATTATGATGCCTCATTCTTCACCTACAGTGCTGGTAAGTGTTACCTTTTTACAGTTAGTAATTACATGTACACATATGGGTCGATAATTTTTTACGTTGTACAAGTATTTTCATAGGAGAGAAGTGCCTCGATAAGTTGGAATTTGGGTTAACTCGGCAAGGCCAGAGTCCCCGTATGTGCCGAGTTATCAAGGGTTTACTGTACATTGAAAATAATACTGTACAGTTATTTTCTGTGTTCAAAGTTGTATCTTCTATAACTATCCCTCATCATCGAGTGTGGAGCTCGAACTGACAACGGAAATTGGCACAAGCCGGTCTGGCAGAAACAATACGCTCTAGGAAAGACGAAAATTCATGGAAAAGCGACAGAATTAACAAAATATTAAAGCTTTAAGATTTTTTATTTAACTTCAACAGACAGCTGTATGAACACCGGTCCTGACTGTGACAGACATCTTACCTTGCTCACATGACCAGTCCTACACACACTACCTGGCCACTATACAATACATTACTGCATTTTATTAATCACAAACAAGTTTGGTAATGAACACATTCTTCAAGACAATAGTAAATTAACTGATTTGTCTTGAAGGATTTTATCATAATTTCAAGGTCTGCACTAATGATGAAGCTTATCTAACACAGTAACTATCTGTGAGACATGATGACCTGTGTTATATTTTGACCATGAAGGTTATTTCTAAAATGAGATAAACACAAAAGTTTAACCAAGATCAAAAACACAGATTAGTCATCAACCTTTTATACAAAACTTTAAGTGATTGTAACTTCTAATACTGTTTGGTCAGTAGTGTGTGTGTGTGTGTGTGTGTGTGGCCAGGCAGTATGTATGAGAGTACAGACGGAAGCAACACTACGCCTTTACTACTCTATACACAGTGGGGCATTAAAAGAGACTCATCAAGCATCTACTTAGGTCGTATCTGTACCAACATTTATTTTTACTTTACATACACAATCAACGCATAATGGGAAAATACCAACTAATGTTACTTTGACAGTCAAGATCAAGAGAACTTGGAACTATCACTCTTCATCTTGTTTATTTCACTGTTTCAAGTCACTTAAGATATGGGAAGATTTCTACCATAAACCCTACAGACACCAACACCAGCTCAGACAAATGGATGAAGAATGAGACTATTACTACTTACCCTTTATGCCAAATGTAGGACCTTGTGAGGGCTGTCGGACACAAGCAAAAGTATTCGTCTTCAGGTGGGCTCCCAATGCTTGTGCCAGGCCAATGGTGGTGGTGCTTTTGCCTTCACCCAGGGGAGTAGGAGTAATTCTAAGGTACAGAAGAGAGCATTAGTAATACAAACAGAAGCACTTAAGGCATGGGACACCTACAAGCAAATGATATTATAGTTTCAAGTGATCAACACATGACAGTTTCAAGAGTGTTTACAATTCATCAACAGCTGCGACCCGGCTATACTCACCCGGCCACGACGACGTATTTCCCATCTTTTTGAAAAACAAGTCGCTGTAAGACTGAAAGGGACACCTTGGCTTTCTTTTTACCATAAAGATCAACTTCTGACCCAAGCAGTCCTATTTCCTTTGACAGTTCTGCAATGTCCTTTGGTGTCTGAGCACGAGCCACCTCAATATCACTGAAATTATAGGGATATTACTTTGTACTAAATTACTATATATAAAAATAATGTTAATTTCTGTGGATTCAATATTAAATATTATTGTGTCTTTAATATGTAATGATTTAATGAAAAACAAACTACCACATTAAACAGGCCCCTAATTAGCCAGGAATATTTAGGGGAACAAATATTTTTCAGTTTCTTAAATTAGCAACAACTTCCTCACCAGTGTTGCTTAAGGTTACTGGCCTTAAATCTTAAGTTTCCTTATATCAAAAGTTTTCAGTTTTTTCTTCTCAAAGGAACAACCACCACTAAACTGGATCCATTTTGTTCAGGGCTTCATGAAGTTATTGTTGTAAAAACTCAAAATTTTTCAAAGAAGTGAAATGGACAATGACAAGACCTGTGTGTTTATCAATAGCATATATTTTCTACTCCTTCCAACACTGATTATGACTGTAGCTAAAATCTCACAAATTAGCAGCTAAGAGTAAAGGACACTTTCTACTCACTCCAACATTCATTGTGGCTGTGGCCTCAAAGCTTTCATTTTACTTCTAGATCAACATTTTGAAATACTTTTTTTCACAAAGGAAAAATTAACCAGTAAATAAAAGTTTTAATTATCTTCCAATCAAAGAGCGTCATCACTGCTGTTATCCTCAACACCACAGATGATGGTGAACTGTGTCACTCATCAAATAAGATAGTTTTCTTTTCCATCTTTAGCACTGTTAATACCACACTAACACTAACTGGATATTTAAGAGATGAAAGCCACTAGTAGGCAGGTGACTCGCTCAACTGAAAAGAGACAAAGAAACTAACATATCAAGTATTAGTGTGTATGTATCACTACTTAGTGTACAAGGTGATGTCCCGCTGACAACATCTGACACCGAGATCAAGGACACACATACTCAGCTAATCAGCCTGGGTTACTATTTTAAGCTGCCATCCAACAGACAACATACTGTGTGTGTAAGAGCTTGGCCTATCAGATACACATTCATATCCGATTCATATGTCTGGCAGCAACACTATTCGGTTATTCCAAAGTATTGTATACACGCTCGTGGATTGTAGGACGTCTGTTTTTCTGTACCGTTTTATTTATTCCTATAAATTTATTTACTTTTACTTTTATCCTCTTTGCCACTGATCAGCTCGTTAGTAGCTTGGGTGGTCGGTCACATCTCTGTTATGCACTGTTGGCAGATTCTGGGCATGCAGTGGCTTCTGTAAACTGTATATCAGAACCTGCTCCAGTATTGGTCAAGTCTGGCCTTGAAAGAGCTCACACTCAGTGCTGTCACAACACTGGCAGGTTGTTCCAAGAATTCCTAATTCTCACTCCAAAAAAGTTTGCCCTCACAGTTTTCTGGACTTGTAGCTTTTCAACCTTGAGCTGTGACCTCTCCAGGTATGTACATTCGAGCAAGTAATGCTCCTCCGAGATGTTTATACACTTCAATTAGGTTGCTCCTCGCCTGTCTATAGTATAAGCTAGGCAATTGCAGGTATTCTAATCTCTCCGAGTAGCTGAGGTTCCGTAGAGCAAGGCACCAGTCAGGTGGCCCTCCTTTATGCTTATGCTATAATGACAATTTTGATGGCATTGAAATATGAATCATCTTCAAAATGTAGAATTTCTTATTAGCAAAATATATAATATATAAAGTATCCATTAAAAATATCTAGATTAATAAAATTCTTCCAATTTACAATGCGAGTGATCAATAAAAGTATGACCACCTGAGTGATGAGTGAGTGTTAACTTAATTGGCAAGACTCCCAAGTTAACTTACTAATTTTAAAAATATCTGAATATGTAAATTTACCACCATAAAATAGAAAAGTTATATAGTTACCATAAATGAAGGCACAGTATAGTATACCTGTACCAACAGTTCTCGAGATTATCCTAGAGTACAGTACAGTATATCTAAAACAATCTTTGGTGAAGTATTATTAAAAGTAGTACAGTATACAAGCAGACAATAGTCAACATAACAAAGCTGACAAACCTCGGGACTTTTTCAAGAAGTTCTAAAGGTAAATAACTGATGTTCCATTTGGACACTTTCATCTGGGCAGCAGCCTTCTGAGCCGAGATGACTGTGTTCTGCATCAACATGGCTACAGTCATGGGCCCAACACCACCTGGCACTGGGGTGATCACTGAAGCCACCTGTTCACACCAGAGTAGAAAGTTATGGTACATGTAAACCAAGACCTCTAACTACAGCATAATATTTCATCTTCATCCATTACTCCATTGGCCGTACAAAGATGATAATGATGATTATCAACATTATACACCCATTTTCCATACTTTTGGGGGTTAGCTGTGATAACGTGATGGCAGCCATTGGGTAAAACCAGAACAGACCCTTCCCCATCACCATAACCCCAGGGCACCAGCCCAGAAAATGCAGCAGAGACCAGGGTATGGGCACAGCTCAGCTTACCCAGTTGCCATCAGGCATGTTGAAGCAAAGTTTTATGGCTGGATGCCCTTCCTAATGCCAACCCACAGGGTGTGAACAGCTGGCAAGGTATACAATAGCATCACCCCTGAAGTAATCAAAGACTACCTACAGTACTTATTTTTACAGTACAGGGGGTCCCCAAGTTATGAACGGGTTCCATTCCTGAGGACGTTCTTAACTCGGATTTGTAAGCAAGTCAAAACACATGCTATGTGCTTACCATACTTACAGAAAAATGTTTTAAAATTCCACTATCAAAGGCCAAATCCTTATATACATCTAAAATCACTTAATTTAAGACAAAAGAAGAAATAGAAAGACAAAATACAGTAAATAAAAGTAAAAAAAATAGTCATCAGGTAAATAAAATACTGTACAGGTCGACAATCCTTTATCCGAAATCCTTGGGGCCGGAGGCATTTCGGTTTTCGGAATTTTTCGGTTTTCAGAATGGTTAGGGTTTTTTTTTTATGTGTATTAGCCCACCCGGGCATAGATCACTGACCCACATTGGGGCCTGGGGGTCTAAAATATAATAAAAATTATAATAATAATAATAATAATTCATAGGTCTAGGTCGTGTTTCTCACTTTTGATCTTTTTTTTCATTCTTGTATTTCTTTACTGTATTATTATTTTATTATTACAGTATTATTGTTATTATTATTATTAATTTTATTATTATATTTTATTATTATTATTATTATTATTATTATTATTATTATTATTATTATTATTATATTATTGTAATCATTATTATTTTATTTTGGTGTATAATTATTAAAAATTTTATTTACTATGAATAATTATTATTATTATAATTATTATTACTATTACATTTTTGCCCCCCAGGCCCCGATGTGGGTCAGTGATCTGTGCCTGGCTGGGCTAATAATCCCTGTTTAAATAAAAAAAAAAAACCCCACAAAAAACTTTCGGTTTTTAGAGCTTTTCGTTTTTCGGAATTTCGGATAAGGGTTGTCAACCTGTATGCGTACATTTCAAGTTTAACCCTGTTCATAAGTTGGGGATCCCCTGTACAAGATAAATAAAGTAATCCACCCAGAGGAAAATTACCTTTTTTTCTATCAATCTATGATCAGTGTCTTCAAAGAGTATAAAATGTGATTTTTACTGCTAAAACTTTCTTGTAGTAATCCAAGTACCTCAAAACAAGCATTAAATACCTTTCATCATTAAATATTACACAAATAAAGTAAACCATAACACACTATTCTCATCATAAACTTCTTCACCCAAACTTTAGAAATTATTAGTAGGAGGTTGACACAAGGTTATGTGGGGTCCCAACCTACAAGACTAGAGTTAAATCCGTGTGTGAGGCGAGACAGTTGTCCATGATAGTGAGTAATGACCCAATGGCAAAGTACATTAAAAAACCAACTTAATTGCATATGGATTGACACCTACCTCACTGGACTAGTTTTTCTTTTCATTTTATAACAACAATTGTTTACTGAATCTGAATAATAGTGATAATAATCAGACAAGTATTTACCAAATCTGAGCCACACACACACACACACACACTACATAAAGACAACACTTAAGAGGCTCACCTTTGAAGCCTCTGCATAAGCAACATCACCAACCAACCTGGATCCTGATTTCTTGGTGGCATCTGAGTAGTAAACAGAGCATTAATAAACAATACTTCTATATCATCATTTGGCTAACTTATTCATCTATCTTAATCATGTATATGAAACTTGTTCTTTATCAACATTTATCAATCCTGCAGTAGTGAGTACAGTCAAGCCTCGATATACTGTAACGTGAAAGGGAGACCATGAATTACGGTACATTAGTGAATCACATTACTGTATATTGCTCTTGTGTGTTTCAACAGGAAATGTAGGGTACTGGACCACAGCTCAAAACATATACCAATAAATTCCTCAACACACCACCTTTTCTCACTTCATCTTTAATTCCATCATTTCAAAACACTTACAAATTATAACTCCTTGAGTCTGAACAACTGGTTCCTGGACTGCAGTTGTTCAGACTCAAGGTGCCTGATGGAACAATAGAATCTAGGGTGTTATGAATCATGTGTGATCTATATAGATGCTGGCCAGTGTTGCCATCTATCAAGGGTTTTCATCAGCAAATAAATTGTCTTGGTTGATATTAAACCTCAAAAAACATGTTCAATGATACATAGTAAAAATAATTAATGCTTCTCTAATGGTCTTCTTATACTAAACTTCTCAGCCTCAAGTTAAAGAAACCACAAGTACAGAAAAAATTATCAGAATTAACTTATTCGGAGTAGGAATTATGAACTGTTGTAACCTGATATTGTTGACAGTAGTTGTGAACTGTTGTAATACCTGACAATGTTGTGACAGTAGTTGTGAATTGTTATTTTAACGTAAAAGACTCGGTTGTGAATTGTTATAATAACCTGCCAGAGAATGATGTAACAGCACCAAGTGAGAACTCTTGTTAAGACCAGACTTGACCAACACTGATACATGTTCTGGTACACTCAAGCTGTACTCGCTAATTGTGTGTAAAAAATTCCTAACCACCAGACCAGCCATAGAGCCAATCGGTGGTGAAGTGTTAACATGTGAAAATGGATGTGTTCATGTGTTTTGAAAAAGGGGAACAAGTTGTGAATATCACTAGAACCTTTAGTGCTCCCAGAACTCAAACTACAAAAATAAACTCCCAATGAACTAAATAACAGGACTTGTTCAGGTTTTCTTCGTGTGCACAACACTTAATAAATGTACAGTACCGGTACTTAAAAACGAACACCAAGACCTTACCTGGGATTGCATTAATACCACAGTCAATTACCACAGCTCCGGGCTTTATCCATGACTGTTTCACAAACTCTGGTCGGCCGATTGCTACCACCAGAATGTCAGCTGTCCGAGTCTAGAGGGACAACAAATTTATTGTTAGGCTCAAGTTTGCTCTCTGGGCTTCCTATTCCAACACTATGGGTAAAGCTGAAGGCAGGAAGGCCAGGGGAAAACACTTAAATAAATTGAACAAACAGAATTAAAAGCTGGTCTCTAATGATACAAAATTTGTGAGGATTAATAAGGACAGCCTGACAGCATTTTAAGTAATGTCATGTTGGTCAACACTCACACCTAAGAATGGCTCCTTGATGGATTGATCAACAACACAAGAACATGAAATCCAGTGTGGTAACTAACACTCTTTTTTTATGAGTGTGCCCCCTAGATCAACTCTACACAAGTGGATGAGCACAGACAAAACTTGTAAGCACTTGGGGGGTCACCTTTGAGCATTTGTTAGAAACCTGACACTTGAGCATTTGTAAAGCGCCTGGGGTCACTTTTGAGCATTTGTAAAGCACCTGGGGTCACTTTTGAGCATTTGTAAAGCACCTGGGGTCACTTTTGAGCATTTGTAAAGCACCTGGGGTCACTTTTGAGCATTTGTGAGGCACCTGGGGTCACTTTTGAGCATTTGTATTGCCCTCTAGCAGACTTTGACCACACTACACATAATTTGACCTCTAGAAGTGAACTTGTTCATCTTTTACTGTACTGTACCATCAAAGTCACTAATCCATTATGCTGAACACACTACATGATCACTACACAACCTTAATATGAGATCACTGAATAGCAATAATAACAACAATTGACTTTAAGCAATATGATCAAGGATAACCAAGCACTTATTTCTAAGGTGATCTATTTCTTCTATCTGTAATAAATAACCTTTCCAACACATCCTCATTGAAAAGTTAGGGCAGCCTGCAGTATCCAATAACCTTCTTTACGTCCATTACCGAGACACACACAACAAGCTGGAGGTTATTTATTTTAGCAGTCTTTTAATGATATTTTGGCCAGATACAAATGTTAAAAATAATACTCGGCCAACAAAGCACTCAAAAACCTTCCAGTGAAACAACCTCCTACCGGACTGTATTTAAGACATTAGATCAAGGTCTGTTATATATGGGGGTTTCACTGTAAAAGTACAGTCATGCGCCGGTTAACGTCCTAGATACGTTCTTGGAACGTGACGTTAACCGAAATGGACGTTGTCCGATTATCACAAACTTTTTATTTATACTTATGTGTATGTGGAATACTATATACGTACATATACACTTTTACTCTTAAATCATTACTGTAATGTGATACAGGTGATTAATTTTTATCTCTTGTGCAAAATACATGACATTTATATTAAAATTACTCACTGTTTTACAAGGATTCCAGCAACGCCAGCAGATGGGGGAGAGAGAGGGTGGGAGCGAGCAAGGGGGCGTGGGGGGAGGGGAGGTAGTACGTTTGACAGTTGACACAGGCCCAGGTCTAACGCGTGTATATTTATCAGTTCTTAGGTGACTAAGCTTCTCTTATAAAAAGCCAGTGAAAAGACCTGGGTGAATATAATTAACATAGCTGGGATTCTTGTAACATACTGATTAATTTGAATATAAACATGCTATAATTTGCACTAGACAAACCAATTTTAGTACCGTAATCAAATTAGTACATGTGCACTCCAGCTTTGCACTAAAAAATCTATGTAAATCTACCCAAAAATACAGTTGAAAAACTTTTTATAAAATGTACTACAGTATTGTACACTAATGAACTACATATTTTATATCTTGAGCAAAATATATGACGCTTATATTCAAATTAATCTCTGTCTTGCAAGGATTTCAGCAATGCAAATTATATTTTCCTAACTTTAGTCCGAGATATTATATAAAATAAGCAAAGAAATCACCAATCTTTTGAACACGAGGGTGGTGGGAAGACGGGGGGAGGTGACAGAATGTTTGGCGCTTTTGTTGTTTATTTATTTGAGATAAGATTTGACAGTTGGCTCTGAAGGCCTGCCTTGTTTATTTATCATTACTTAAGTGACTAAGCTCTTCATAATTTCCACCCAAACGACCTGGGTGAATATAACTTACATTGAGGGATTATTTTAAGATAGTAATTTATTTGAATGTTTTTTTCAATTTAAATTTTAATTGTTTATTCCTTGATAGAGGAAGTGGAATCAGTGCTGTCACTTGGTACCCTGTACCATAATACTGTAGTCCACAAAACATGTAGCTATGCTTTTTTATTTGGTCCCTGTCATACGAACCGCTTTCCTCACATCAGGACGCCTCGAGTCTTCCGTTTTCTCTTAATCTTAGAGTGCACCAGAAACTTACCTATTTTTAGTAATGCCACAGAATTTGAAATTGCAACCCCAATTGCAACTTGCAATTGTTGAGGCAACTAGCTATGTCTGATTACAGAAAATGTGTTATTGTCAATTTGTAGGTGAAAGATTTTATCCTCAATAGATGTAGGTTAACATTTCACCTGTAGGCAAATGCTTAGAAAAGCTTAAGTAAGGAAGCATATTCCTTTAACACATAATAACTGACCAGTATGGGGAGGATCATCGTGTCTCCGTCAGGGGGTCATGGAGTGGTGGTCCAGCAGGCGTCACGTGGGGTTTGGGGGGGCACGGACGTATATGCGATCGGACGTTGTTCAGTCAGACGTTAACAGGCGCATGACTGTATATCTAAATCTACTTATTTGTTTCATACAAGTCACTACTGTTTTATTATATTCTTAACTAGTACTGATGCAACATAAACCAGGTCACATACCACAGCAGGGAGGTCAACAGTGCGAGAGTGGCAGGTGGTGACTGTTGCATGGTGCCACTTCAACAGCTCTGCCATAGGGGTGCCAACAATCTTGCTGCGACCCAACACTACAGCTGTTGCTCCTTGGATCTTGGCTCCCGATCTGTTTATTATGAAGATTTTATACACTAATTAAAACATCCAGAAAAGATTCAATATTTAGTCAAGTTTATCTCTGAAATACAATTTAGGTGTTAAAGTCTAATCTCCTCACCTCGGGATAAGTTCCATGCATCCATTTGGTGTACAGGGCATGAAGCCTCCGGCCCAACATACCATGGGAGAGCCGGCCTGCACTTGCTGTGGTCAACCTGAAAGAACGGATTATTTATAACAATGACCCAATATTCAGGTAGTTATATGAACGTATATCTAGTTACATAACACTACTATTAATATGGACTCCTATATAATCGATGAAAAATTGTCATTAGTGTTTACGTCATCAAAATCAGATTTAAGACAAACACTACCCATAATTTTAGGACCACAGATAAAGCGGTTTCATATAATGACTCACACAAGACACTAAAATACAATAACTAATTACAAAGTACAGAATATTATGTAAACTGCTTGAATGAGAGGCAAGTACTGTACCAGATGACTGAAAAAAGAAAATTATACATCACAAGTGCTCCTCTACTTAAAAACGCTCAACTTACAAACTTTCAGACACAAACATCACTGAAAGGGGGGGGGGGGGTTACCTGCCAGAACAGGTGTTTAATGTGGATAAGACTGGATTATTTTGAAGAAAATTCCAGATAGAACAAACATTACCTAAGAGGAGAATAGCAAGTCAGGTTTTAAGGCTGTATTAAAGGATATACCGGGTAGCTTTACTAAATATCCATAATCTTTTTACAATATGTTTGGTATCTACAAGAGTAAAGTTGGACTTACAAACAAGCCTTGGGCACTTAACTCGAGGAGCACCTGTACATTAAATAAGCAACATCTTTATTTACCAGTACTGTATCATCTTATTCCCCTCCCAGTGGTGGTGGTGAGAGTCACAAGGTAAATGAAGATCAGTGGAAATGAGGTAATGTGATGCTAGGTTAAGTGTAGATGGTAACAAGACAAGGCCATGACAGTAACCGTAATTAATGAAGTGCCGTCATCACTATTATCAACATCACTACCACCATCATCACCACTGCTGCCATCACCACAACTATCACCACCATCATCACCACCACTACCACCACCTCCATATACAGTATAAATTACTATACTGTAAGCATGTACATTATTAAACCCTTATATCCCATACAAGACCAACAGGGTTCTTCTATTCTTACCAACTGAAAACAATATCCTCGCTCTAGGCCATTCTGTCCCATGCGTTCCTACTGCCCATCACTCGCTCCTCGCTAGTTCATCACTAGTTCCCGCTGCCCATCACTGCTCCTCGCTGCCCATCACTGCCCCGCTGCCCATCACTAGTCACATCCACCACAGACTTACACTTGAATAAACCAAAAGCTTCTCATCCTGTCTCAGTTCACACCAGTATGGACATAACTGGTAAGCCCACCCGACCTTGCATTCCATTTACAGTACCAAAGGGATGATACAGTCGACCTAATGGTATATATTTCATCTTATTTACATTATACCAACAGATGAGCGACAGACTCCCACATGTACCAATTCCAAGCGAGCAATCAACAATATTGTGTACAGTATGTGGTACAGGTACACTATAGTCCACCTGCTGCACACACCACCACACATAGAACAACATAAAGGAATGTTTATCAGTACAGTTAATTAAGACACTGATGTTAATAGGTATATCAAGTACTGTATAACATTCTGGTAAGTACACTGGGCTGGGTATCTTCACGAGGTCAGTAAGCTTTATGTTTATAGTGATTCTAACAAGTCTCTGACACGAACTTCTAAGTGTGTAAAAAAATCTTGACATCAAATATCTTTTTTTCAAATATCTGATATAGGAGAGAGAGAGCGAGAGAGAGAGAGCGAGAGAGAGAGAGAGAGAGACTATGTTATCTATATTCTAAGATAAACAGTTGAATAATCTGATGCAAATGGTCTACGTAGTGCCATAGCTCTTTCGACTTCGCCAAAATCTTCACCGATGCCTTGACTGATAAATTTACAAAATATTATTTGAGAACTAAACTTTTTCTATACACCATAAGAAAGTGTTGTGTCACCATCACAAAACACAACCACCAGTCACCTACAGAATCCCTTTACTGGTGCCGATGTTTATAGCAAGGAGGTACAGTAGTGCCAGACAAGATTGATTCAACCCATTTTGTTTACATTTTTGTCTCTACCAAAGTACAGTCATGGAACACCAACAATACCACCGTTGTTAAGTGACCAACCAAGTAACTATTGATGATGGTGACTATAACCAGCAGATGATGAAGAACAACACACGGGCTGCCTTACTCACCCGTCCACATCTTTATCCGGTGATATAGTGTCCAGTACCAGATCTGAATCAATGTTGTTGTCAGAGTCTAGTGGCATCTGAACTATCATTCCATGGATGGTGGGGTCATTGTTCAGCTTCTTCACTTCTAGCAAGCTGAGTAAACAAAGTTATGTAAGAATTACTATGCTAGTGGAGAAATTTGTACAGGGTGATCTAAAAGTCCCTGTCCACCTACAATAATTAACAGTATAGTTGTTCCTTGTTATACCTACACTGTTATATACCTTGTTATACTTGCAGAGAACATTAGGAATGGTATCCACTTCCAACATTTACTGTAAACATTTCCAATATTTACTGACAGTAGAATAGGATAAAGCTGTACAGTACGGAAAACCATTGACATTCGCGAGGGATAGGTTCCAAGAAATGGCACGAATTGGCAAATAGCAACTTAAACTACCTTAGTGCACTACTGTATACCCATACCAAACAACTGACCAGCCACAGCAGCACTCATCCCCTCTTTTAACTTCTCTAATAATAAAACTTTCTATGTCAGGGTCATCATTGACTTCTGCCTTTTACATTTCACTCCACTAGCATCAGTAGCACTGACACTAGGCAGTCTTTTGGGGCATTACACACAAACACTAAAGTTTTGAGAGTACAGCACAACACGAGATGCTGTGGTGTGACTCACTTTTCTTGAGGAAAAGGCTTGCAAGCTAGCCACCATCTGCTTACCGCGAATCATCAAACTTGCGAATGGCAAGGGTTTACTGTACTCAATTATTGCAAGAGCACAGTGACTTTCCTAACAACCTGTGTTGATTAATTCCATTCCTTACATCATAATTCACGAAATAATTACCAAATCTGATAAATACTGAAGTGACAGTCATTGGTCATTTCACTTTAGGTGGAGAAGATCACTATAAATTGAACCACACAGTAGTTATTAAAACTACCTTCAAGAAATAAATACATTATCAGTTATTACTGTATTCTTATTGTATGAGGCTAACAAAAACAATGTACAATTTGTTGTAATATTTCAGAAACCTTTCAACAAAATTAATATACTTTACGTATATACATGGCCTATAAAGTGTAGGGGTGCATAAAGGCAGCCCCAAATTTTCATTTAAAAGTAGCTTTTGAGCTCTATTTGCTGTATAAGACCAGTACCCCAAATGTGACACTTACCCACTGACTCAGTAGTCCTTTACCAACCATCCTTGGTTTTTAAAATAAGGCCAATTCACTTCAAGTAATGTCATCAAATATTACCGCTGGTGTAGTGTAAACATTAGTGGCGTCACCTGGAAGTCCTTTATTTACCGGTAACTGGAACTAATGTCGGTGTCGAGTAAAATTTTCCATTTACTTGAAATGGATTTACGATTTATTTGTTTATTTATTTATTTATAATATACTGTAACATATTAAACACACTGCAAGTATTTTCTTTCATTTATACGCTCTTACGAGACTATGTACAAAATGAATGTTCAATGAATTATTTATGGTGCATTAGGGTACTGACCACTTCAGACACAAAGACAGGCTATAAATAGCCTTGTTATCTACCCTACATCTCACCCTGAGCCAGAGGGAAGCTGTGGTAAATAACATTTGTTTGCTTATTTTCCATTTACTTGAAATAGATTTACCAAATTATTTGTTTATTTATTTATTTATAATATACTGTAATATATAAAACACACTAATTATTTTTCTTTAATTTATAAACTTGTTTTAGGCAAAGGAATGTTCTCCAGTAGTGTTTCATTAGGTTGAGTTAGAAAAATATTACATATAATATATATATATATATATATATATATATATATATATATATATATATATATATATATATATATATATATATATATATATATATATATATATATATATATATATATACACACACACTCTTTCTGCCTCATTTACACAATTGCAGTTTCAATTGTTCCTCTTACTTTGACAACACAACATACATACAGTATATTATTTCTCACTTTTGATCTTTTTTTTAATTTTTTTATTTATTTATAGTTAGTTACTTAAAATAAGGCCAATTCATTTCAAGTAATGGCATCAAATGTTTACCAGCTGGTGTAGTGTAAACACTAGTGTCGATAGTTTCAGAATTAGCAGACTCATTTACTGAATATTCTTTGTAAAAAATAAATTTTTAAATCAATTATTTATAGGAGATAAATATTATTTTCAGTAAATATACGATACCGGTATGCATTACTGATCACCTCAGCATTAAAAATAGCCCAATCTCGCTGTCACTTTCCTTCTTGTCTCCTCACTGGCAAATGGGGGTGTGTGTGTGATGATAGCAGCTGTGTTTATTACAGGGTATGTTAGACAGGTTTATAATACATTTTATTATTTTAATATACGGTAATCTTAATTTGAATCCAGCTTGCCAAACGTAAGTTTCAGTATAAAATAATTACTGGTAGGACTTTGTGAGTGGCTTACGATGTGTCCATCACCACTCTTGACACAATATTTAAGATGTAAGAATTTTATATTTGTTGCTTAAGACGACCCCCTAACTTTGGGCAGATTTTTTTAATGTTCAAATTTCGTCTTATAAGCCGAGAAATACGGTATGTCCCACCTGTGATTGGGTTATTGTTCTTGGAATTTTGATGTGCTGTGCCTTGATCCCAATCTCCTCGGCAGCCTTGATTTTCATTCGAATGTAAACGTTGCTGTCTTCACGCCCGCAACCTGCAGCAATATACAAGTTGATAAAGTACTTCCTATTGTCTACGCTTCAAACAAACTCTATATGCATGAACCATTACCAAACAAAGGTGATATTCAGTCATGATTAACTCCTACAGATATGCCATGCCTGTACTGTTCTGTTCTTCCACTTCAATATACAGTATTGCAGTTCAATAACTAATACAATGATTCTCAACATGTATGTACAGTACACACACATGTACAGTACTGTACTGTATTCATAAATAATGAACTTAAGTCCAACACTGTGGACAGTCAGAAGACAGTGGACATACAGGAGGTCCTTGTGAGGACATGGCAAATAAATTGTCCCTGGTTGTTGTCCTACAGAAACTATGTCCACCACTGATGGACTACCCAGGAGTACATAAGAGAAAACACTCAAGTGGAAACTTAAGGGAAGTGAAAATAAGATTATCTGACTATTATGAGAAATTAATTTATTGCAGTCTGATGCATAAAGGAATGCTCACATTTAAAAATAATTCAAAATAATTTCTTTATGTTTCAAATTTACAACACAACCACCTGCATGAATATATCTGGTCCCCAATCTTCCAGCTAAAAAAAAAGATTGACTGGTTGCTGGGGCGATGATACTATACCAAACTTTTTAATTTGGTCAACTGGTCACATTTGGCTTGTCATTGGCATAGGAATAAATAAACATTGTTAGACAACTATACTTCCCAAAATTAAATACAGTAAATTATATGAAATTACTCAATACACACTATCAGTCACACTGTATGTAAGCCAACAATACAGCCTGTAAGCTATTAGCACATACAACTAGCTGCCATATATGGTCTGGGTTGGTAAGTCAGTTCATGTGTTGTAGCAAAATTGGGTATGTCAGCAACACCTTCAGTGATTTGAGTTTTTCTTAAATTGTAACAATTGACAGAGTCAGCATTGTTAAAATATACAAACCTGAACAATTGCATTCGGAGCAAAGCCAGCAAATTCATTCTTAAGCTTCTCAACATGTTCCTTCAACTTGTCCCGGACATCTCTGTGGAGAACACTTCAGTTAATGCACATACTACAGTACAGTATACATGTACTATATTGGTGAACAGATAAGCCATTTAAAAGCCCATACCATGAAAAAATTAAAAGCAATCCATATCTGGCAATTTCAACCAAAATTTTGCATACAAGATTAAAAACAGTTTATTTCATGAGGTTCTTGGCAGTAATCATGACTTAGTGTACTGTACCTACTTCCATAACTGACTGGGGTCTGTGGACAATAAGACCTCACATTGCAGCAGATGCCAATGACAACTTTAGGCAGATAGAAGTACATTATAGGGTTAATGTCAGTTTTAGGAGCCCTGAAATACACTACAGTAAATGAAGGACAATTTACAGTTTTAAATTCACTTACTGAGCCACCTGTTTCCCGGACAAAACTGTAGCTTGACTGTCTTCACCCATTCTGAAAAGAAAGGTTTGAGTTTTACAAAAATAGGGCAACATAGGTAGGGTTGCCATATCAGTTTGATAAGGGCGTTCAGACATCCTGCCCCTGCCTCCCCCCTCCCACTTTGGTGCTCTGTAACCTCGAAGCAGCCGTGACAATTAATTTTGTATATTTGCATAACATTAATATATATACAGTATATACACCAGTATCGGTGTACTGTATTGCATTGTTTTTAATGTAGGCTAAAATACAAGACACGGTATAGAAATCATAAAAATAATATAAAAAATTACCTTTGCTTAAGGCTGACAAAAAAATCTGTCGGTTTCATGGATAAGCCCTCTCCTCGAACTGCTTTCTTGTGTTTTGCGAGTTCACATGTGTTTGCAAATCATTAATACCTTTATTTGCCACAGAGATACGTTCTGGTTTGCACACCAAACACTGCGCTTCCCATTCATCCCTGCTCTCTTAAAACATGGAAGTTTGCTCTGTAACCCTACAGTGAATTTACATTTGCGTTTGGGCATTTTGTCCGTGGGGTTTTACGGTGCAGCTTATGCTCTGAAAAGTACAAAGTAGTAGCACTGGCTGTGGCAACATGAACAAACCCACAACAAAGATTAGATCAAACACTGTCACTGTAGGTTAAAGACTGGCCAACCACGGTCACAGTTGTCGACACACGTAAATAATACAGTGATCGGTTAACGGCATCGGTTAATGAAATTTCGGTTAGCGAATTACCTTCCATAAGAATCTTCAATTCGGTTGAAATTTTCTGAAATCATGTCAACATGTGCTTGCTCACCAGCTGGAATAGTAGTCAGCCAATACAGTGTCGGTTCTAGGGCTTCAATTCATTCCCATTTGAGTAAACATCAAAGAAGGTTGTACTATTCAATAATTGTCCAAGTTTTATATTAAATTTTTTAGTCATTTTAACACTTATTTAACATAACTTTAGTACAGGAAACTAGTTTTTGGTGCGCCAATCAGCAACTTGACTCACCCACCAAGGCGTGAGTTTGTATCTCTTGGTCAGTGGAGGTAACATCTTGCTTGTGGCTCTCTTGAACATAAACTATTTTTAAATTTTTACAGTACAATTATTGGTCATTCTGAAATTTATTTTACTTATTGACAATATATAGTGCAGTGCAGTGTTGATTTAAAGAAAATAATCATGGTGAAGTTTACCTCCGAGATTATTATAAAGTATTGGCAGGTAGGGTTAAGACCGAGATAAGAAAAGCAAAGAGGAATAATGAACTGAAGGTAGCAAGGGAGGCGAAGTCAAACCCCAAGGGATTCTATCAAACGTATCAAACTAAAACACGAGAAAAGATTGGACCAATATAGTCAGATACTGGCGAGCTAACTGATAACGACGGACAAATGAGCAATAATCTGGATAAATATTTTTCAACAGTTTTCACCACCAAAAATTTAAACATGATACCCGAGGCATTGACTATATACAGATAGCTGAAAAATAAATTAGCGAGATAGTAGTGACTAATAGCGATGTTAGTAAGCATACAGTGGTTCTCGGTTATGAAGCGCCTCGGTTAACGAACTGCCTC